CAGGCTCCACACACGCTTGCTGCAGCCTAGACCAGAGCTGCAGCCAGGAGGACACTGCAAACAGGTTTCTAAGACCTTCAGAGACAAGTTATCCTAACTTCTGATCTTGGAGTGGCCTTCTGGCCTAAAAACGCACAGCGAAAGACAACAAACACCCTAAAATCTGATTGTGTTCCATTCCCAAAACACAATATTAAAACCGAAGAGACCAGGCTGTGTCAGGGTGCTCCCTCCCTGACCCCGGATTAAGCCAGGGTGCTCCCTCCCTGACCCCGGATTAAGCACAAACACCTATCTTCACAGGGAGATCCTTTATTAAACGCTGGTGGGAGGGGGTGTATTAAGGTGGCTGATTTATGACTCAAGCAGAAAAACAGCAGTAGATGACCTTGAAGGTGTGATTTTTTTAAGAGGAAAAAGGTGGAGGTCTGTGTTAGAATGGGCTGGGATGCAGTGGTTTGTTTTGATTGGACTTATTAACTAGGATAGCCAAAGTGGGGCTTTTGATTGCTGGACTTAAGTACATAATAGCTAGACTTTGTTAGTCAAACTCTGAACGAGGAGGAAATGGCCAAATCAAGGAATGGACCGTGGTGGCTAGCTTTAAAATTGTAGTTTAGTGGTCTTTAGGGAGGAGGAAGGATGGGAAAGGCCTGACAGAACCGAGTTTGCCATGTTGAGGCTCGCTAGAGCCTTTTCAAAAAGTAAGACATAATTCCATTGGCCCGAATCACAAGCTGCAGCTGTGTCCCCTAAGGAGAGCAAGTTAAATGATATCCAGTACACAGAACTCAAAACCAGTCATGTCCAAGGAGGCCAAAACATGTAAAACACCATCTCCAAGGAGGCCAAAGCAGGTAAAACACCATGTCCAAGGAGGCCAAAGCAGGTAAAACACCATGTCCAAGGAGGCCAAAGCAGGTAAAACACCATGTCCAAGGAGGCCAAAGCAGGTAAAACACCATGTCCAAGGAGGCCAAAGCAGGTAAAACATGTGAACGAACTCGAAGGTAGTGGGAGAAAATGATGGATGGATGACAAACTCGAGCAAATGACAGAAGGGATGAGGACAATGTAAGATATCATAAGCCCCTGGAGCCACAGGAGTGCCAGGCCCCTCCCCGAGGACCTCTAACAGCCAGGTTCTACCCACAGAATACTGTCAGCGGGCATGGTGCCGTGCAGGTTGCTTAAAGAAAGAAGACACTCACAGATGAAATTTGAAGGCCTATAAGGCAGCAGGAAGGTCCAGCCTCTCTGGTGGACTGAACCAGGAACAGCCATACTGTCCGGAGCCGCACTCACATTCGCCATTACAAGATGGCGCTGACATCCGCTGCCGGATCAAGTAAACAACGTTGGTGCGCATGTGCCAAGTGTTTTTCCACTTGCCTAGTGTTGCCTCTCCCGTGGCGTCATATAGGGTGATGAGTCCTCCACCTATCCCAGCTGTACACGCATTGCTCGGACGGGATTCTTGGCTCTCGGTCTCCCTAATCAGAAGCTGATCATCTGTCTCTCAAGATGCATTAAAGCTTTACTGCAGAAGGATCCGAGTGTCCTGTGTCGTTCTTGCTGGCGAGACGATCACGCGGGACACCATACAAAGGCGTATTTATTGATGGTTACACACAGTATTTCTTCATACCGAGGTCCCTATTCTAATTCACATATAAGGACACCATCACAGGTCCCCATGACTTCAGTCCTTTATTGAGTATCATTTGTAATACACAATAATACAAGATCCCCAGGTGTGCTTGAGGTGTCTTGTGACCCAAGTCATGGGATGCCTGCAGTGCCCCTTCAGTAAAAGCAATCCTACAAATCACGGAAAACAATCACTGTTTTCCACAAGGATTCTTCAAGGTCAAAGTACTTGTAGAAAACAGCTGTTCATCCTAATATCTACCCCAGATATAGCGACTCTGCTAAACTCCTACACCAGAATACTCTAACTGCCCTAAGTTCTGGAACCTGTCCCCACCCTACAGAGTGAAAAGCCCAATTTCTGGGCATGAAATCCAACTAATCTCCACCCCGAAAGCTCCACCCTGGAAAGCTCCACCCCCTTTCCAGTAAACTCTCTATAAACCCTGTATCCTGTTCAGTTTGCTGCTTTTTCCCCTGCTCCAGCAGAAGCAGTAGCCCTCCTGATTTTTCCCCCCTAATAAATGTCTTGTGTGAGGTTTGTTGTATAGTGTTATTTTGTGGTATCCCTTGGCTCCTGCCTGTCACCGGTATCTTTCCATGAAAACTGAATTCAAGAAATAGTTAGAAACACTGAAAACAAAAATGGAAATGAAACCAAAAATGAAACATGCAATAAACCTAATAGTAACTCAGAGATCAGGTAGGAGACAGAATATCAAGCTTAAAGGCAAGATAGAGGAGCAGGATGGCTCAGTCAGAGAAAAAGATGAATTAAAACAAACAAAAAAATACATCCGGGCATTGGTGGCGCACGCCTTTAATCCCAGCACTCGGGAGGCAGAGGCAGATGGATCTCTGTGAGTTCGATGCCAGCCTGGTCTCCAGAGCGAGTTCCATGATAGGCTCCAAAGCTACACAGAGAAACCCTGTCTCGGAAAAAAAAAATTCCATGCAAGTAGCACTGAAGATGAAAGTGAAATTCTAGCTGCACGTTCTACTCTAATATGAAATATTCTAAATTGTAGACACAGCAACTCACTCTGGACCTCCACAATGGCCAGTCAAATGTCCAGGTCTACACTATTAATAAATTTGACCTGGAGGAAGACATTTCAGGAACTCTGGGTTTTAAGAGGAAATAGATATCTCAGGAAGACAGGGGTCAGTGTAAAGTTTCAAAACTGGGACAAATGGCTGAGGTGCCTATTTAACATATCAAAGTGGACCTGGTTCCCAGTTTTTCCCAGCGCCCCACAGCCCCTATCTGATAGAGGGTATCGCTGGCATGCCCCGACCTCTCCAGGGCAGGGCCTAGGCTACCCTTCCCCCAGAGGCTCTTCCCTATGTAATCCAGACATTTTGGTTACCTGACTCCTTTACACCTTTGGCATCCTGGCTGTCATACCCGGGTCCCCTCTCTCCCTGTCCCTTCCCCTCCTCCACATGGCCCAGCTCAGTCCGCTCATGTCCACTCTGGACTCTCCACTTGTCCCTGTCCATACCTCTGTCTACACTCTCCCTTTTGTCTGTAATAAACTTTCTCCTACCCCATCCCTAGGAACAGCCATATCCTCCCCTTTCCTTTTTATTTCGTTTTTTTTTTATTTACTTAACTTTGTCTTATATGCCCCAACCAGTGTGAAGGTATCAGATGCCCTGGAACTGGAATTATAGATGATTTTGAGCCACCATGTGGGTGCTGAGAATTGAACTCGGGACCTCTGGAAGAGCAGCCAATGCTGTTAACCACGGAGCCACCTCTCAGCCCCCCCTTTATATTTCTTTTTTTTAATTTATTTTATTTGCATTGGTGGGTTTTTTTGGTATGTATGTCTGTGTGAGGGTGTCAGACTTGTAGTTACAGACAGTTGTGAGCTGCCACGAGGGTGCTGGGAATTGAACCCAGGTCCTCTGGAAGAAGGGTCAGTGCTCTTAACCACTGAGCCTTCTTCTCCAGCCCCTCCTTTTATATTCATAAATACCAACAGACAGAACACGCATACATATAAGTTTTTTAAAAAAAATAAAAGGGAATCATGAGAATTTTTTGAGAAAACTGCTAACAGAAAGGATAAGGAATTTGAGACCTTAATAAACCTACTTATTCCCATCTCCCTCTCTCTTCCTTCCATGCTAGCCTCTCAGTCCCATAAAAAATCAGAATGCTGGGGCCAAAGAGATGGCTCCATGACTAAGAAACTAAAAGATTTGGGAAGAAGGACCCAACAATCCATGTAGGCACAGTAGCCTGCCTGTAATTATGCCTGGGAATTCAGAGAAAGGAGATCCCAGAACAAGCTGAATTGCAAGACTACCTGCTTCAGCAAGCTCTGGTGTGATTCAGAATGAGAATTCTGAATGAGAAGGCTGTTCTGTGCTGTTCTGAATGAGAAGGCAGCCCGCCCCGTAGGCTCATATTGTAGGGTGAGAAGGACCAAGAGAACAACACCCTGCCTCTGACTACACCCACGACCTGGGCCAAGGAAAAACACCCTGACCCTAACTTGATCCCAGGACCAGGGATCAAAATCCCACCAATCCCTGAGCTTGTCCCCCAATCAGGCTACTAAAATCCTCCAAATCTCAAGCCACCCTAGAAAGATCTGTTACCCCAAGAAACCCTATATAAGCTCTGTGCCCTGTTCAGTTTTGCTGCTGCTTCTCACCCTAGAAGCAGCCACTTTCCTAACTGAGAAGCAACACTTTCACTGGGGAAATTTTCCCCTAGCAGAGAAGAGCTGTAACACTTCACATGGTCTGAGCAGAGCTGTGACAACTTGGCTGGGAAATCCTCCAGCTGTTAGGCTTGCATTGAGAAAAACTTTTCCCTGGAGCAGAGCTGGAAGCTGCTATGTTTACAATGTCTTTGTGGTATTCCTTGGCTCCCGACTGCCAGGAAACCTTCCCATCTGAACGGCAATACTTCCACATATAATTAATTAAATGTTTGGTTCCCAGGAGGGGGAGGGGCTATCTTGGAAGGATTAGGAGGTGTGGCCTTGGTGGTGGTGTGTTACTAAGGGTGAGCATTGAGGTTTTAAAAGCCCACACCGTTCCCAGATAGCTCTCTCTGCCTTGTGCCTGTGGATCAGATGTTAGCTCTCAGCTACAGCTAAGCACCATGCTTGCCTGCCTGCTGCCATGTTCCCTAACGGGATGGTCATGGAATCTATCGCTGTGGAACTCTGAGCCCCCAAATTAAATGCATTCTCATATAGTTGACTTTGTCAGGGTGTCTAGTCCTGGCAATTAAGAGTAAGTAAGACAGAGCCTACATCACAGAATGAGCGATAAGAATGATCAGCATCGAAGCCGGGCGTTGGTGGCTCACGCCTTTAATCCCAGCACTCGGGAGGCCGGATCTCTGAGTTCGAGGCCAGCCTGGTCTCCGGAGCGAGTGCCAGGTTAGGCTCCAAAGCTACACAGAGAAACCCTGTCTCAAAAAACAAACAAACAAAAAAAATGAACAGCATGGGGCTTCCACCCACACAGGGAGATATGTACACATGGACCACTCCTAACCCCCCCCCAAAAAAAACATACCCATATACAGATGAACCTGCCTACACATATGAATGGACACTATGCCCACATATGCCTATGCTAAGACGAAAATCAGAAACCCAAGTTGGCTTGTCACCTTCTGGTTTCTATCATCAGTGAGCATTTGGCTGTCTATGATGGGTGGCAGATATCTACGGTAGTGCGAGAGGATTCGGAATCAAAGAGTTGGGCAGAGGCCAGATCTACCTCTTCATATTTGGCTTTGCGGTCTCAATTAGCTCTGGACGCAGGGGCAGGCAGGTTGCACCTCTTCTGACCACACCCTGTCCTTGCATTGTGAAGCAAAGGCAGGTAGAGTGATCTCACAGATACCATGGTGCTCCTGTCTCTCACGTTGCTCACCCTGGTCCTAGCTGGGCCCCTTCCTACACCCCAGGGAAAAGGTCTCAACTTTGTCAATCAACCTCACAGAATCGACTTGCAGAGATGGATGTAAATGGTACCAAGCGCTGGGAGCCCCACAGGTCACTTGATCTGAACCCTCGCTCAACCCCGATGAACAAGAATCTGCTGCAAGAACCCTGTGGTGGGGTTGGTAACAAGCTGCTAACAAAGATGCGTGCCGTGGTCATCGACATGGGTTCTGGCACGTGTAAGATGGGCTTTGCCGGACAGACTCGGCCCAGCTACATCGTGACCAACGCTGTGGGCCGCAAACCCAGGAAACAAACCACCAAGGTGGACACCTATTTTGGTGAGGCCGCCCACATTTGCCCGGAGTTAACCCTGACGCAGCCAGTTCTTAATGGTATTGTGGTGGACTGGGAAGCCGCTGAGCTCATCATGCACCACATCCTGGAGAATGGCCTCCAAGTGGCCACCCAGGAACATCCTCTGCTGTTCACGGATCCGCCCTTCAGCCCTGCCAGCAACCGTGAGAAGCTGGCGGAAGTAGCCTTCGAGTCCCTGCACTCCCCGGCCCTGTATGTGGCATCCCAGTCGGTGCTGTCGGTCTATGCCAATGGGTGCGTTAACGGGCTGGTGGTAGACACTGGCCACGGGGTCAGCTACACAGTGCCCGTCTTCCAAGGCTACAACCTACCCAGTGGCATCCAGCGCCTGAACCTGGCTGGCCACTACTTGACCACCTTCTTGGCAGAGAAAATCTTGAGATCGAGCTTGCCGCTCAAGTGGGACGACCTGGACACCATGGAGAGCCTCAAGCATCAATACTGCTATGTGGCCTCAGACTTCCAGAAGGAGCAGAGTCGTCCCCACGACAAATTCCGGCGGCGCCTGAAGCTGCCAGATGGACAGACGGTCACAGTCGGAAAGGAGCTCTTCCAGTGCCCTGAACTACTATTCCATCCTCCGGAGACCTCGGGACCATCATCTTCCGGCCTCCCCAGCATGGTGGAACGCAGCCTCTGCACGGTGCCCCAGGAGCTGCGGGCCGACATGGAGCAGAACGTGCTGCTGTGCGGAGGCTCCTCTCTCTTCAGCGGCTTCCAAGGCCGCTTCAAGACTGAGCTGCTGCAACGTCTTAGTCCATGGGCCAACGTGGTTGTGGGGGCCCACCCCAATAGGAACCTCTCGGTGTGGATTGGGGGTTCCATTCTGGCCTCTCTGTGTGCCTTCCAGTCCCGCTGGATCCAGCGTGAGCAGTATGAGGAACACGGTCCCGATATAGTGCACCAGAGGTGCTCTTGATTCAGGACAGGGTGCGGAGGGGTGTGGGAGTAAAGTTTCCTTAGGACACCTCTGTCCTGTCTCGTTCCATTCTCCCCATCTCACTCACTGAAACCCACCCAGGAGCCTCAGATATGCACTCACTCACTTACAGACCAAAGGCCACCTGAACCTCACCCTCACACATTCCTGGGTGAAATCTGAACTAAAGCCCCTCCCCTAATCCACACCCTGAAACATCCCAATGCTCGCCCATCCCTCCACAAGGATCCCTAACACAGTGCTAAAGTGAAATATCAATTCGGAGTCAGGTATAGAAATTAGAATATTTATTAGGGAGTGCCCTACTTACTCAGAGCAGCCTTGCCAGCCAGCCGGCAGGGAACGAGGTAACTAGAACAAGCCAATGAAGAAAAGGAAGGAAGGCTCCCACCTGCATGCCCCTCACTCTTAAACCTCCCTCACGTCACCCTGACCATGCCCGCTAGGCCAGGCACACCTGTAACCAGCCCCGAGCAGGCGTGCTTAAGATGTCCCCTACACAATACTTTCTCTAATCTCATCCTGGGATCATTACCTTACCTGCCCACCCAAGGCATGCTCGGGTCTGGGGAGATACAAACCCACAGACTGGAGCGTTTGTTAATGGATTTCTTAGATGTCCTTCTGACTAGGATATGCTGGAAACTAAATGTTTTGCAGTTTTCCAAAGGTTAGTGAACTTGCACATATTTTCCGTGTGGAATGACCATCTCTATTTCATCTTTGGAGAACTGTTAGTTCGTTAGCTTACTTTGTAACTGAATTGTCTGATTTTTTGTTGTTTCCTCTTCCAAGTTCTTTATAAAATCTAGGCATTAGTTCTTTGTCAGATATACAGTGTGCAAAGAATTTCTTCCATTCTATGGGATGCTCATTGACTCAGTTGCTTTGTGTGTGTGTGTGTGTGTGTGTGTGTGTGTGTGTGTGTGTATTTGCTATACAGGAGCCTTTTAATTTTATGAGTCTTAATTGACAGTTGTTGTTCTTATCTCTGTAACAACTGGAGTCCTGTCTAGAAAGCCTTCCCCTGTGCCTCTATTAAGTTGTTTTTCTGTATTCATTCTTTATGAGTGTGTTGTTAACATGTCTTATGTGCGTTACATGCATGCCTGATGCCCATAAAGTTTAGAAGAGAGCATAAACTCTCCTTGGATTGCATGGATAGGTGGTTGGAAGCCACCATGTGAGTGCTGAGAACTGACTCCAGGTCTTCAGCAAAAGAAATGGTACATACACACACACACACACACAGAGAGAGAGAGAGAGAGAGAGAGAGGAGAGAGCGCCATCTCTCTAGTGCCCTATGTTTTCCTTTAGCAGATTAAGGTTGTCAGCTCTTCAGTGAAGGTCTTCGGTGGCCTCAGAGTTGATAAACAAATGATTTGATTCTTATGCATATGGCTGTCTGGCATTGTTTTTAGTTTTACTTATTTGAATTTAAGTGTTTTTGTGTTTTGCATGCATGGATATGCACCATGCCAGTGCCTATTACCCCGAGAAGACAGAAGGGGAAGTCAGATGCCCTGGCTATGTAGGTCCTGAAAAATCAAACTTGGGTCTTCTTCAAAAGCAACAAATGCTTTTAACCTTTGAACATCTCTCTAGATCCACACCCCCTTTTTGAGACAGGATCTCACTGCACAGCCCTAGTTGGACATGAACTTTTTTTGGGGGGGGGGTCGAGACAGGGTTTCTCTGTGTAGCTTTTGAAGCCTATCCTGGCACTCGCTCTGGAGACCAGGCTGGCCTGGAACTCACAGAGATCCACCTGCCTCTGCCTCCCGAGTGCTGGGATTAAAGGCGAGCGCCACCAACGCCCGGCTGGACATGAACTTCTTATGTAGATCAGGATGGTCTTGACTTCACAGAGATCTACCTTCATCTGTGTTGTGAATGTTGCATCTAAAGGTGCAAGCTACCACAGATGGCTCAGTTATTCACATTTACCAACACCATTTGCTAGAGAGGCTGTCACAGAGATAGTGGGTTCTGCAGAGAAACATCATCTATCAGGTTTGAACTGAGCCATTGTGCACATGAACTAACAGCAGACATGAAGGCTTGCACAAGATTTACACATGAATCAACTATAATGAAATCAGCCCAAAAAATCTAACCAGGAAATACAATAAGAGTTAACACAGGGGATGGAGAAATGGCTCAGGGGTTAAGAGCACTGACTGCTCTTCCAGAGGATCTGGGTCCAGTTCCCAGCACCCACACGGCAGCCCACAACTGTCTGTAACTCCCGTTCCAGGGGATCTGATAACCTTCACACCAATGCACATAAAATAAAGTTAAATAAATTATATAAAAAAAGAGTTAACACATTAAGGAACGTTTCCAGCTACTATTGTGTTGTAAGTATTAAACACAGCCTGATTCCCAGACACTAGCTTCTAAGACGAGCATAAACAAAGGAGGAAATCACTGATGTTCATAAATGAATCACTGGAGGGTATTGATCTGTAGGAAATAAGGGTCTGGAAAGGAGGTCAAGTTTTATAACTTGTCATGGTAAATGATGAATTGGATGTTAAGAGATTCAGCATGAGTCAGGGAATTTCTGGAATTTGCCTGATTATTGGTTCTCCACTCAGTGCGGAGCACAGGTCCCGGTTAAGTATTCTGTGTCTGTGACTGGTGCAGCATGGGTCCCACTGTACATTCTCTATGCATGATGGATGCTCTACGAATGGGGTTGCTTCTCTGTGTCTTGGAATGGAACACCCAGAGTTTACACACAAAGTCTGACTGCCATGGTCCTTCAAGAAACACAACTTCACTTGTAACTGTGAATCTTCTGAGACCTGTAACAGCACTTCTAATGCTGTTCAGACAAATAGCTTGTTGATAGATAGTGGCCTGGTATGTCCAACATGGCTTCCTCCCAGGAGTCTTTTTTTTCTGGTTTTTTGAGACAGGGTTTCCCTGCAGGTTTGGAGACTATCCTGGAACTCTTTTTGAAGACCAGGCTGGCCTCGAACTCACTGAGATCTGCCTGCCTCTTGAGTGCTAGGATTAAAGGCGTGAGCCACCACTCCTGGCTCTCCCAGAAGCCTTACTGTGTGCGTATGAGAGTAACACCATTACACCTGAGGATAAGACATCCTCAGACATGATTTTTTTTTCAACCTGAAATGCATAGCCATGAGGAAGATAATATCCCAGATTTTTCCAGGGGGAATAAAGCCACTTAGAGAAAACGGAACTAGAGACAGATGAGTGACATCTCCAGTGGGCAACGATAATAAAATAATATCACAGTAATGTTACAATGATAATAACAATGATAATGTACTAACTGCCAACATTTCACAAAGATTGGGTGGTGCTACTTGCCACAGTTGCCAACACTTCACAGAGGGTGACTGGTTCTGCCTGTTGTAGCTGCCAACATTACACAGTAGGGATAGAAGGACTGCAAACTGTCATCTTTGAACTGATTGAAGATGTGTGTCTCTGCTGTTTGCAAGACTTCCACTCTTTACATTTACACCACATTCACCTCCCTGTCCTTATTTATTTATTTATTTATTTATTTATTTATTTATTTATTTGGTTTTTTATTTATTTATTTATTTATTTATTTATTTATTTATTTATTTATTTATTTATTTATTTATTTATTTATTTATTTATTTATTTATTTATTTATTTATTTATTTATTTATTTATTTATTTATTTATTTATTTATTTATTTATTTTTCCGAGACAGGGTTTCTCTGTGTAACTTTGGAGCCTATCCTGGCACTCGCTCTTGTAGACCAGGCTGGCCTCGAACTCACAGAGATCCGCCTGCCTCTGCCTCCTGAGTGATGGGATTAAAGGCGTGCGCCACCAACGCCCAGCCCCTTTCCATCTTTTAGGAATTTTCTGTAAACACACACATGCATAGTGTTACCATTGCGTGCAGAGCTCCTGATCTCAAACTCCTAGTAGGTGATGGGGAAATTCTCAGTGACAATTATTTTTTTCCCAGGGTGGCTGGGTGACAAAGACTGCTCAAGAGAAGATTCATTACAGGTATGAAAACCAGTGCAGGGCAGTCTGCCAGAATGAAGAACACA